ACAAATTCGATAAAGCCGCCGGCGGCCCGCAGGACTCGCTCGTTATCCGGATCTGGCGGTCTGTTAGCCGCTACGTCAGAAAACTTGCAACCTCTCCCGTATGTTACGCGACCGCGTTCCCGATACTTCGGGGAAGTTTAATTTGCCGGGTAGCGAGGCGCACTGTAACGTCGTTCTCGCGGTGAATTCTTTCTTCAGAAGCGAAAGCTCGAGAAGGAATTTTTGCCGCGGCTCGAAGCATTTAATCTCCAGAAGTTCAATGCTTCGCTTGAAATTTACGAAAATTAATAAGGAGAGATCGGTGTTAATCTTTAAATTTAGTCTTGTTATAGTTATTTTATTTTTAACCTTGACGAATATTTTAACGTAATAATATAATATAATTTTGATTAATATAATATATAATTACTTCAAGACGAAAATATTCGTCTTGAAATAATTATATATTATATATTAATCAAAATTATATGATTATGTTAACATATTCGTCAAGATTAAAAATAAAGTAATTATAAAAAGATTAAATATTCATCAGATATTATCGGAGAAATGTACGGAATAACAATCGTTAAATGTCGCCTCGGATTATCAAAGGTGAAGCTAACGACTATGTCACATGCGTGCGAATACGAATTGACAAATTACACGCGTCAATTGTGATATTGATCGGTAACCTTCCTCGGAAATATTTTGTGCTTCGTTGGATAACAGGCGATAAAGGCTGTGTCTCGACTATTCCGAATTTCCAGAATCGATCACTGTAATCAGGACCATCGCCTGAACTGGTTACCACATCACAGAGATGCTTGCAGCGACCATAATCGCTTTTCGGTAATGTCGCTTTGTCCGTCGTCGTCTCATCAGCTTGTCGCAGCGGCGATCGCTTTTCGACGTGCCCGCCGCAAATTTCCGAAGGACTTCGGCCTCGAAAGCACCGTCGAACGTGCATCCGGAAATACAAAGGTTTTACCGAATCATAATTGTATAAAAAGAAAAAGTCAATCGAGACGAACATCTCTGTACGTTATCAGTTTTTAAGATTTCCGCAATGATTCTTTTGCATTTAAGTCAGATCCCATTTGCTTCTGATTTCGCGTTATGATTCATGTCGATTGTATCGAGGGCAATTTATTAACCGTCTTTCTGACGGATGGGCGTTTTTAGACGCAGGAAATCACGACGAGCCGCGAAGGGCCTATCAATCAAGTCAGATCGAGCTCCATGCTGGTGAGACGCGCACACAACTCAGGATCCGATCATGTTTGTCCAGCAAGCGTGCGGAATCACGACTCCGGCTACGATCGTTCCTATAACAAGGAGAACTCGATCAGTTGCAGTTGCTACCGGACAAGAAACGTCGGCGAGGACGTTTCGGAGCTGCGGGATGAGTGCAATGGTGGAGATGCGGTCGATACCGTGCCAAGCAGAGAGCGCGAGGAGTTTGCGTCATCGGATGCCGATCGTAAAAATGAATTTGTGAAATTGATCGACCGAGACAGGTTTGTCCCTCTCGTTTGCAACGTCTCGGCCTTGCGATGTTTTCAGTAAATGAACTAACGACTCTTCATCCTGTTATTGCGTTAGCATTATGAAAAGATACGACGTTTAAAAAATGATTCTTATCAAATCTCATAATGGAAGAGATGAGTTTCGAACGTTTCGCTTCTTAGGATTTTGCATAAAGGAGACAAAGCGCTATGATTGACATATTTCGAGCTGCGTGGGTTATTGGTAATTTACTTTTTGGTTGGAATTTTTAGTTCATTTCTCAGTCATTCATCGATATTTTGGGCTATTAAAAGACACATAATTATGATGCTTCTCAGACTTCTACGCGTACCTTTTTCAAGGAAGTCACGTAGTTTACGACACAATAAAAGCGTAGTATCAAGTTGTATCTCGCCCTAATAAAATGAATTGCAATGCTCGCGAAACATTGGCATTTAACGATGTACCAAAACAGGCTTTTATCCAAGCAGAACAACAAGCCATTATGATATCAAAATATTGTCAAAATGACTCCAAAACGCTCATCAATAGTCATTTTTAATCATTTCCGATTCATTTTAATATAATTTTGACTCCTTTGTCGTGACTTGCTCTCTGTGGGTATATTTATAGTCAAATCTTAAGATATTAATGCTCATTTCCATCAATGTAGATTAACTTTGATCTCGGTTCTCAACTTACTCTTCAGTTTTTTTTTCTAATTTTTAAAAAGAAAAAGTGAAGAGTAAGCTGAACTGAGATTAAAGTTAATCTACATTAATAGAAGTGGGCATAAAACTGTTGTACAGTCTTAATACGTGACGGGACCGATCACAAAGAGTATTAGTATTTTATCAAGACATTACTTAAGACGGTCTTGAAGTCGGCTATAAATACCACGACCTGAGATTACCTCTTAAATCACGTGATGCACACATAATTATAATAAACACTTCCTGAAATTATAACTAGCGCACAGTGCAGTTTTTAGTCACCGAGAATTACCCAGTGACTCACACGCGGATGACAAACTAATGAAATTGGCATGGGACTTGTCAAAACATCTCTCGTAAAATAATCTTTCTTTGCGCGAATGCAGATGCGACGTAGCGTCGAGATCGATAGAACGGATCCCGCAATCCTCACATCCAGCATCTTATCGTCATTGTAAAGCGCGCTGCCCGTCGAGACCGCGTTCGAACATGGATCCTAACGTAAATCCTCCGTGCGACTCTGCGCCCTGTGAGAAGTACGACGAAGTCGCGTGCGGCGATTTTACGGGGGACAGGAGCAAGGGGTTCGCGCCGACAAGTTGTCACGGAACATCCATCGATCTTGGCGGCAATGCGGAGGAGGATATCGTTACCAGCGACACTCGGGGCCACAGTTCGGATGTCGAAGACATGTGGACGAGGACGAATACTTTGACCAAGTGTCATTCGACCCATCGGAAAATTGCAGATTCAACCTGGCGATGCCAGTGCGAGTATCATCCGCGCGAAGATTCTATTCGGAATCTGCCAAGATCGTCGTGTGATCGTTGCCGAGATGAGTGCTACCATCGTCGCCATAATTACCGTTGCGATCGCTCCCATCGGCATTGCTGTTGTCCGCAACGCGACTGCTTGTGCATAAATATCAAAGGGTTAATAAGAGACCTTTTTATAATATATCAGAGAGAACCTCCAAACCGTTGAAGTCAACGATGTTAAGAATACAAAATGTAGATGGAAAGAACGGTTTCAAGTATTCAAAAATTTAGTTAGAAACAGATCTGTAAATAATTTTGTTGGACCGTTAAAGTAATTATATATATATACGTAGGAATCTCTCAAGTATGATGGGCAATGCAGTGAAAGGTTTTGATATTCTAGCTATCAATTTGAACGTCCTACATAATTATTTCGCTGCTGATAAAATTATTTTTAGATTTGTACTTGGCTACATTTTTAGATACTTCAGCAAAACCGCGCTTTCCATGTAACATTACGCATGGTAGCTGAATTGATTTGTGATGAATTTTTAAAGGATTTGTATATTAGTTTTTAATAGTTTTTAATAACGTTTTCGACCGTAACAGGTTTTAAACTAATAAATAGTAGAGCACGCAACATCAAATCTATCTCAAATCGATTCAAATCCGTTATAACGAATCGGAAACATTATAAGATTTGGAGCCAATTTCGGATTGGCAAAAGTTTAAACGACTGCGTATCCACAGAAATCTCACATACAGTTTTCTTATATTATGTATTAAGTATTGATCGTCGTGCATTTCACGTATTTCTATATAATGAATAATTTTCTAAAATATCGTTATTTTAAAAAAGAAGCCGAATGAGGCGGAAGATGTGTGATTGAGGGGATGAAAATGCCGCGCAGGTACAATCTCTGTTTAATTCACTCTCTTCGCATCATTCATATTGCAGATGTGAGAATGGCATCTCCGGCGAGAAAGCTCAACACAAAAGCTGGCGCGATCAGATGCGAGGCGAGAATAGTCGATTGTACGCGCGGCAGTGTTACTCGAAGGAGTATTCTGGAATAATACCCGCCTCTCGTGAGCGAAACGATGAGGAACGCAAGGAGAAGAAGAACGACGACGACGACGACGACAACGACGAAGACGAAGACGAAGATGAAGACGAAGACGACGACGATAGCGTGGTTGTTATCAATCACAAGGACTCCATGTGCATCCTCGCTGAAAAATATAAAGCCAGCAGGAAGTGGCGCGGCAGAAGGTGCGGGGATAGAGCGCAATCGGGCGACAGAACAGGGAACAAGGATGAGTGTAACAAATCGTTGACTTCGGAAATCATCGATCAGCCGGGGTCGTCGCTGGAGATCGCAAACGCGGTTTCGCACGAGGGACCGAGGATGAGACACAGTTGCCAAGGTGCACATTGCGAGAACTGCGGAACCGGCGCGATCGCAAGAATACGTGGTCGTGTATGTGGCCGACACGAGCCGCCAGAGGGTGAATTCGACCGATTGAAGCCGCCTTTGAACGAGACGGCTGCCACCCGCTGTTCCTCAAGTCGACCGCCTTGTAGACGTGTCTTCTAATTCAATTTCGTTCCACGAAACACGTTTTCGTGGACTTTTTACTGCAATTTTTGTATTTTCTAGTTATTTTCCAGCGTCCAACATTTGTGCGCGTGAACCATTGGAATAAAAAAACGATATGAAATTTATTTGAAATTTTTTCCGCTTCTGCTTTTTCATCTACATTTTAATCGCGATAGTAGATAACTGTGCATAAACTGTACAGCGATGTGCAGCGTGAAAAATTTAAGCAAAATCCTCGCGCTTTTCCACCTTTCCCCGTTTCAACCGCATTGAATTTTTTTCCGCGAGACACTTACTTACCCGCCGTATATTAATGCAGCGAAATAATACAGCAGAGTATTACAACGCTAAACGTTAAGAATAAAAATTATGTAAATCAAATTTTAGACAAGCCCACGAAACGGTTTAGTTCTATATTAAATTAACTTTGTATAGCGGGACAATTAACTTTCAGCTCGTTTTATTCAAATGCGCGTGGAAGAGAGCCAGTTTCCATCTGGGAGAATTTTAAAGCTCACTACGGAAACGCGGCACGTTAACGAAATTATCGAATGTAAGCATGTGCATTAAAAACCATGGTGTCTCCGGCATTTGGCTGCCTCCGGAGACGACTTTTCGCTTGCTGGGCTCTTTGTGATGGTCGTACGCTCGTTGTTTCGTTTCTTCTCTCGCACTGTTCGCCCACAGCTTCCATGTTAATTGGCTCATCTCATTGGTCTCTGGCAAGGATTCCGCAGCATCGCGACGCTTTTCCCTCCCCCTTCCGGAAAGTTCAGTTCTCTCCTCGATGCTAATATTACACGTTCGCGTTTGTTCCTTCGTCACGTACAGATTCTATTTTGATCTCTCGATCTTCTTGCCAATCTTCCGGCACGCTAATCGAGTCCACCACTTCTTCAAATGATTCATCAGGTTCCTCTTCGTAAGCGAATTCTTCCTCGTCGTTATCTATTTACATGTTTAGATGCATATAATATTCCAGGTAGCAAGTTGTATTGTCAAAATGACTTAATTTTGATATTTAAAGTTAACAAACAGTTAAATTTTGTAACAAAAAATCATCATTTTGACTTTCTCCTGATTTAATGTGTTCCTTAGATTACTATCTAAGATAGATTAGTATTTTTAAAGATTTATATAAATCCAATCTCTCTTTCTCCCCTTCTCACTGTAATATCACATTTAAAATAAATGTTTTATACAGACACATCGCTTATAGTACTTTGTGCCAAGCGAGCAAGTCGATCTTTAAGAGCACGTTGAAGTTCTTCGGCAGCTTCCGTCAAGTCCTCTCGATTACCAAATTCTGCGGGGATGCCCGCACGGATCATGACTTCGTCGAAAACCTTCTGATGCAAATTTTTCATAATGGCTTCTCTCGATCTCGGTGATTCTACCGACGATTTAGGTTTACTTTTTCTCTCGCGATATCGTCTGTAAGCTTTCTATATGACAATTGATGATTATTTCTTTTCAGTTTTCCGTATATATATTCGATATAAATATGATGTATGATTGTATATAATAATTTTACATATAATTTCATTTGCTTACTTGTATAGTGGATGCAGCTTCATTTGCTCTCATTGGTGTCAGTCCTAATTCCTCGCACATATCCCACCCAGCTATCTCGCCTCTTTTCTCTTCCCCCTGCGGTTGCATAGCCTCTGCAAGAGGCCGGGAATACGATTTGAAATACTATCCTAGTAAACGCACTAGGTGCAATCTTACGCATTTTCATTTTTAGGTTTTTCCTTGTATAGTAGCCGCGGTAAGTAGCCTGTATCAAAATGGCGGCTTTCGACGCCTCCGCTTGCGAAGCTCCTGCCTTTCTCAGGATCTCGAGGGTCCTCGTTGCCGCTCGTTGCCATTGAATCATGCCACGGGACTCGTTTAATAGCATCCTCTTATAATGCTCACGGAAAGCGACCTGATTAATAACACCGAAAATGATTCAAAGAGCTGCGATCAGCATTAAAGATCCGTGATAGAAGGTCTCTCTCTCTCTCTCTCTCTCTCTCTCTCTCTCTCTCTGTAGTTGGGGGGTCTCGTATGGTAATTAGCGCATACTTGTATTATCGTGGCATGCTTCTCCGCCAGTTCCAGCGTGAGCCCCGTCTCCTGCAGAATACTTTGCAGAGATACCTTGGATCTCTCGTCGCAAGTTGTGTCTGCGGTCGAAAGAGGAAGAATGTCTCTCGCGTACTTTTTGTCCGTTACACGTTACAGAAATACCGCGCGCGGCGGGTCTACCCGCCGCAAAATTGTTTTTCTACATAATTCACCGTGTAATTACCGTCGTACACCTGGGTCGCTCGCATGTCTGCCGCGTCCAAGTACGCGCGGAACGCCGTCTGAACCCGAAAAAAAAGAGTACGAAAGAATGTCTGAAATATTATTTAACTGCCGGATCCTTATCCGGCACGCGACAGTAAATTCTATACCTGAATCCTGGGCGCGGCGCGGGCGATCTGCTTGAAGCTCAAGCCGCTCCGACGAAGTATATCCACGATGGCCTGGCTCCCCAATAAAATATTGTCTACGACTTTCACCGCGACTGGAATTGTACAATTGTACGACTGTAGAATGCAACGCACGGTTATAGTGCGATTTACGATCGTCGCGCGTATTTTACCACACGCGGATGATATACGCGCACGGTCATTCACCGCAACCTTTGAATTAACATAATGATTCGTGGGACAAATTGGTATACCCGGTACGCGTGCACGTGCATGTAAACATTAGTAATTAATTAGCTTAACGTCCCAATTAGCGTCTGTTTGCGCGAATGATATACGTAACATCAAGACATGGACGAGGTTGTGATACTGTTGTAGATGACAGAGTACCTTTTGCATTTTCCCGTGTGATCAAAAGGGTTTCGACATAATCAGCGACAAAGCAATAAATGTTCCTCGGTTGCGAGCGCAGTACCTTTACGGATCAGATAATAATTTAATCGTCCTTCGACGTGAGACGGCGGTGTAAGTCAAATAAAACGATTTCATAGAGCGAACCTCGCGTGCGATGTCGGTGGATAGTTCGCGTAATCCTTCCGGGACCTTACATATATGTTTAGCTCCATGTTTCTGGAGTAAAACGTTCATTTTCGTGATTATCGTTTCAGCCGAGTTGTTTGAATTTATCGACTCTTGCTCTTATCGCGAGTAATACGATGCGCAAAAGTTGCTGCTAACTTTCGGTGGTAACGAGCGCATTGATGAAGCTATATAGTGAAACAAGTATAGATATCAGGCCACGCGGTGTTGGTCCCTGGATAAAATCATATCGAGATAAAATCATTAAGAATATGATACGAATAAATTACAATCCCATTAACTCGTTATCGTTTTATTAGCGTTAAATCGCGTAATAAAGTTATTCATTTGATAAGATTATTCTATGATCCCGAGACTATTATCTATGATTTCTCGATAACACGCGGGCAAATTGTTATTATTTATTTTGACATTTTATTTTGACAGTTTTATTAAAGTTTCTGCGAATTTCTTTGCTGACATTGCTATCCTCGGGCTCCCCTTTCCTTGACACAGTGCCATTTTGCGCCGTTTGCGAAATGATCTCTACATTATCGTGGGGTATTCCGCGTTGACTGGGCCTGACAGGCCTGACGTGGTCAGTTCCTCGTCGACTATGAGCGACGAAAGCCATGCCAGTTACGAACGCATGCGTTGTGTTCTCGGTGGCTCTGTCGTTTCTTGCCTTACTGCCGTCGCGTGAGTAACTTACATAATATTTTGATCCGCTGTTGTTTCCGACGTTGTCTCGCCGCTTCACCGAGTTCCGTGCGAAGAACGAAAGCCACGAAAGTTCGCGCAACGATGCGATTTAATTGCGAGATTAAGCAT